CGCTGTCACCGTTGGCCGTGGTTTTGGCGGTTTTGCTAGACTAAAGCGAAACCCTATCGCCGCCTGAGGCGCACCCCTATCAAACCTACCGCCGACTAACTAAGGCGCAACCCTATCGCCGACTAAGGCGCAACCCTATCACTATCGGATCTACCGCCGACTAAGGCGCAACCCTATCGCCAACTAATCAGTCACTAACCCGACCCTCCCTCTCTGTTGCTTGGAATAGGGCGAGTGTCCCCCCAAAGTGGTGTCCACGTGTATTTCGCCCTGATCTCTCTCTCTCTCTCTCTCTCTCTTTCTCCCATCCGCCACTTCGCCACTGGCCCCGGCCCTCAGCACTTCTGCAGTGCTGCTACCTCACACCACAATCCCCCATCCCTCACCGGAACGGAAACCGCCCCAGCACTTCTGCAGTGCTGCCACCTCGCCCTATACAGCAAGCCCCATCTCCTCCCCGTCCCTCCCGCAGCACTTCTCCAATGCTGCCGCCTCACCCCGCACACCCGCCCCCCGTCCCTCCCTCGGCACTTCTGCAGTGCTGCCACCTCACTCCACTAACCCCCGCCCCTGCCGTCCCTGCGCATCACTCACGTGCGCCTGACACGACACGGGGTCGGCGGCACTGGCGGCAGCCATTAAATCGGGCAGCGCTTCGCTGCCCTGTATGGACTGAGCTATGGCTCAGACGAATGAGCTTCGTCTGCGAAGCAGAAGCCACGACCGACAGTGCCGCCGACCCGCCCCGGACCCCGCATCATCGGACCCTCATTTCTCCCTCGGGCCGCGCGGGGCCTGGCCCAAAGGCGTCTCGGAACGCGCACGCGTTTTGCAGCCATTCCCCGCGGTGTGGCGGGTTTCGGGGCCGCCGTGGACGACGCCAGGAGGCGAGCCGGCGAGCATCATGAGCCCTCGGGCGCCCGCAACCGGCGCCAGCAGCGCGACGTGGGCGCGAAGTCATAACTCCCAAGTTTTTGAGTGGGCTGCGGAAGCCGCCAAAGGGCGCGCATCATGAGCATCAGCGGGGTCCGGCGGACGGGGGGTGCGGGCTACATGCAGGGCCGACGGGGGCTGAGAGCCTACGATCACCCACAAGTTGCGCACTTCGGGCCTACGTTGCACTTATCTATATACCGCGGGTTTCTGACAACAGCTCGCGCTGCCCGCACCTGGGCGCCGCCCCTAAATAACGAATCTCACCATTCTCACCCTGACGCTTGAGGCAAGCAGCGCCGCACATGAGCTTTCGACCATACTTGAGCAGGGTCCTGTCGAGTCGCTCGTAATCGCCTTTATGCAGTACGAAGCATTCCAGTCCAGAAAGCAACGGCGTGTGCACCATGCTACTGAAGACGATGAGTCTGGCTTTCTTAGCGGCAGCGGCTCTAGACCAGAACCTGCCAAACATGACCCACCCCAATCGCGCAGCCCCGACTCGATGCTGCAGCTCATCGTGCAAACTACCACGCATGTCATAACGTGGTCCAAGATACCGAGCTGCACGAGCAGTTTGCCCTGCCAATATGTTGTTGCGGAACAGTGCAGCATACTCTTGCCTGGCTCCTTGCCCAGCAAAAAAGGGTACATGTTCCTGCTTCGCCCTGTTCTGAGCCAACCCAATCGTGGAAAATTCTTGATCAATAGCACCGTTGAGTAGGGAGCTTTTGTCTGAAATCTCCCGTGCTGTCGGTCCAGTGAGTTTGTTGGCGATATCATCTGCATATGCTGAAAAAGCAGCATCCACCCACTTGTCGTTGACTGCGTCCCATGCGACAAACTCTCCCGGAGGTTCCAAGGAGGAAGCATACTGCCGCACTCTGTCGAGGCAAGGATTATAGACTTCCACAAACAGCTGTGCGGCCATCCCATCGCCCTGAACCGTTCCGGCCCGAGCCGATAATCAGCAGAGTCGTCAACCCCATGCACGCAGATGACAGCGGATCTGTGATGCTGCGCCAACAGGCCAACGTTGTGTGATGGAAAGATGCTCGAAACGCAGCTGTCCAGCTCTGAGTGGTCGACGGAATAAAAGGCATTGGCTGCATCATAAAAAAATGTGATGTGTGAAACTTTCGCCTTTCGCAAACGCCATCCCAAGCAGTGCTGCTGCAGGATACGCTCCAACCGGCTCCGGTGTCTGGTGTATCCAGAGAAGCATGCCTGCAGGTCTTCCAGAGGTGGTTGTAAAAAGCCCGGCCCATGGGATCCAGCATGTTGATAAGTCGAATTCCGGCAGGCCCACTCTTGCTGTTGTTTTTGTCAATTTGCGCTGTGGAACTTCTGTGCCAAATGGCGGGTGAGCGTCCATATCTCCTAATGGACCGCATGAGCCCCACCATTCGTTGTGTGAAACTATGCCCCCGTGAATCTGCTTCGAAGCCCACACCGCGCCGCAACTTCGTTCGCAAGTATCGCGGATGCAGCAGCTGTCTCCACAGCTCCGCCGGACAGGACCAATCTGGAACTGTTTTGCGTAGCCGCAATTGATGAACCTCCCGACGCAGAGCAAGAAAATCAGCAGCCGCATCAGAACAAATCTTCGTTGCGTCGGACTCCACCGCGTCGCATGCGTCCTCATGGTTGACAAATTGGTCCCATCGGACTGACTCGGCTTTGCACCCCCCCTCGGAACCAGGCTGCTTGAGGAAAGCCTCCCACTGCCCGTGGTCTGGCCGCTCCCCCACAGGTTTGCGATAGCATCGTTTCTTGGGGCCAATGGCCTTTCCAGAAAGCTGCCTTGCTGTGGCCCACATGTGAGCCATGTCTCTGCGATGCCAAGCATAGTCATACTCATCCAACAAGCGCATTTCACGATTTGCCCTATCTCGCTTTGCCAAAACATCGGTGCTGGGCCACAACTCGCCAGCGGACAAGCATGTCCGTTTTGGCATGGTTGCCAATTGAGCCCGAGATTGGCAAAGCTCCTCGGCAGCTTGCGCTGTGTCGTGCGGCTGGTGTCTTCTTGCTGCAACTTTAGTGAAGAAGAGTTGCCCAGCTTCAAAGACAACCCGGTTGATCTTGTCCCAAAGCGGCCCAGGCGGACCAGATTCCAAAGTTTCCCACTCCTGACTCTGCGCACACTGCGCCTCAACAGCCGCCAGAAACGGTTCTCTACTTTGACCCTGCAAAACACCTTGGGCATTTGGTCCCACTTTGGGCCTGCAGCAGTGGCTGTATATGTGAGCTCGCGCTCAAATTGCACCAGCAGACGCCTATGATCGCGCTTGCCCGGGCTGGGAATGATTTGCAACCTTTTCCGGCCGCATGGAGCAGGCATGGAGGACACAGCACTGACGAACTCTGGGCCACATCGTCTGTGGCAAGCACACGTAATCAATGCGACTGTTGCATGCAAAGCATCCATAGTATGTGTCTCCAGCTGGAAAGAAAGTGCTAACAGCAAACAAGTTATGATGCAGCAGAAAACTGTGCATGAGTGAGCCATTGAAATTCTGTCGTTGTGGCTGCACAAGACCCACAGAGTCACTGCCAACGGAACCCGTCCTACCGTTGGCATCCAGCAGTAACACCGGCACGCAGCGATTTGAAAAACGTTGCGGGGCTGGAAAAGCCGTGACCTGATTGCAAGAAGCACCCCTGCTGCTTTATCGCAGGCAGTACATCCCCATTCAAACACCATATGGCTGTCACAACGATACTGAACCACTGAATGATCAGGGCGCCTCTGAGTATCTTGCAAGCCAACAAGTGAATACCACTTGAACTCCTGCAGGATCTGCTGTAGTCTGTGCGCGCGCTTGAGAGATAAGGGGGTTGTATGATACCGCTGTCCATGTTGGCATGGTCGCCACTTTCGGAAAGCCGGGCAGCCCTGGTTTGGCAGTCATTTTAAGAGCTGCCTGCCTGCAATGCATCATGGCATTGGCCTGTCGCCGCTACGGAGCTTCCTATCTTGATGGATCGCGGCTATGAACATACATACATACATACACATCCATGTATGCATCCAGATAGACAAACAAACAGACCGACCGACATGCATATCATATACATATTTATGTATACATGCGTACGTTCATGTACATTCGTTTGTACATGCACATATACATACATACATCACATGCTCGCACGCAGAGGCATACTGTAAATTTGTTTGTCGGGCGAGTTCGGGTCGTCGGAGCCGGGCAGGGGCCAAACATTGCACATTGCACCTGTAACGCATAAGTCGAATGAGTCACGGATGCCGTTGGCAAAGACTACATGAGTAATCATGAAATCACAAAAGAGGCGATCATCTTCTTACAATTATTGCTGCATTGATCACATACCGTATACATCCGTATACCGTAAATGTCAATCACAACGTTCCGATCAGACAAGGCAACAGACAAGGAGAAGAACAACATCTCACCGGCACACAGCCGCCCAGATCATGTCCGTAACTGCCACAACATCTGCGGTCACTGCCTATGTGCTCGTAGGATGGGACAGCCGTCCCGGCAGAACTTCCTTCAAGATCACAAGTACAAACCAACACCTGATACGCGAAGCATTCATGATATTTACGGCGTGGTGATCTGTGATGATCTTACGAACGTTGCAAGTGCTCCATTAAGCCTCCCAACCACTTCCATCTCGAAGCAATAGCTTCGGTGCCATGGCTCTGGATTAAGAGCCATGCCCAGTGAGAACTGAACTTAACTTTTCGTGAACATGGCATCCTGAATGAAGTGCTCCTCGCCACATACACAGTGGTTTCCCGGTGAAATTGCAGCGCATCTGGCGTCTAATTGCGCGAGGCACTAAGACCGTAACCTTGTCGCCGCCCCTCTACGGATCAGATCAGTTGTACTACGATCTCCGGTCTCAACTTTTTGCCGAGAGAACCCATAAGCTTCTGTATCTACCTTCTGTCAGCACTTACACTGCGACTACAAATTGATGGTTTACTCCTTCCACGGGTGAGGTTTCCCCCTTGATCTTGGATGTTAGAACAACGCCAAACCTTCCGTCTGAAAGCTGCTTGAACTTATGAGGGCCTCCACGTCGCCATCTTCGATTTCCATCGGCTCTCCATCCAGCTCGTCTTCCTCCTACAATTCACAACCCGCTAACTTCTGAAAAGATGCCGGCGCAGTCAGCGCAGTTGTCCTGCTGCAGGTTGCGTAGTTGCGGTCGCAGCTTCGATATCACCAACCTCGATGGTCGACCGCACGATCACACAATCTCAGCCGCTCGGAAAAAGTGCACCACACCACGCACTCTGTGAAGGGGACAAGGCTTGGTCGTTCGTCGCCATGGCCCCAAGAACCTTGGGATAGGACAGATTTGCTCAAGCCATGCAGCCATGCCATGCCGCGTAGACTGACCGACGCGCCAACGTACTGCGTTTGCCCTCGTTGCAGCAGGCAGCTGATGCGAACGCGAAGAAAACGTCCAGGAGGGCTGCGAATCCTCGGAAGCTGGCACTCACTTTGATTCACTGAATGATCTGGCTTAGGGAAGCTAGGCTTCGAGCCGTCCGTTCTGGTGTTCCACCCGGAGCCCACAGCGAAAGCAGCTGCTTTGTTTGCTGGATCCTCCTCGAAGATTTTCAATGTCACCTCATGAGCTGTATCCGAGGTTGGAACCTATGCTGAAGCTGCTTCTCTGCGTCTCGGTATCTGTGCCCCCCGATTTTTAGCTGTCCCTTTTAAGCCCCGTGCGCACACTGCAGCAAAGATCGCAGTACAGCCGGCACCGAACGGAAGAAGTGCTTTGGGTGCTTCTGCCGTCGCCAATGTTCTTTCCTGATGCAGTGCGAAAGAAGCTGCTGCCGTGCTGCCTACACTTGGAAGCAGCTCCACTGGTCCTGCTCTGCGGCATCTGCGAGGGCCTGAACTCCAGTGCTGGAACAGCGTTTCGCTCATCAAAAGTTGCGTGTTGACCCTGCCTGTGAAAAGCTGCATCGGCCAAGGCCTACAGACTTCCTGAGCGAACGGGTGCTAGCCAGCGTTCGAGACAGCTCTGACAGCAACAAGCATCTTCCTGCACGCGCGTCGGCCGCATTTCTAGCATATTCGGGTCCAAAAACATGCATGCCCACATCACAAGCAAAGCAGTTAGCTTCGCCATGCTTCACGGCTGGTGCATGGCGAGCGAAGTTCGAACCGGGCTGCCACGGGCTATCGCCTACGAGATACACTTGCTTGTTTCCTAATTCTGCGGCGTAGTCACGTGCCGGAGCTTTCGGCCATGGAGGTATAGGAAAAAATGGCCTTCACAAGTGACCAGAAACAATTCGCAGCTGTAGCTAGAAATGATGACAAGACGCACAGTACGCAAGCAAGCATGCTCAAGGCTGCGGCACTGGCAATCACAGGTATCGCGGCGGCTCCGAGCGAAGCACTGTGGGCAAGGAGTGCCAGCCCTGCCGCGCTTACTACCTGGACTCAGCAACTCAAGTGTGCGCAAGATGACCCTAGTACGAGTCTGGCACTGTAAGACTGTGACCGAGAACGCCGTGCCACTTGTAACCGCTGGAGCCTCTTCCCTGAGCACCTGAAGGAAGCGCTAATTCCTGCACCGCTGAACACTTTCTGGCTCGTAGTCTCCAACCGGAAGCCCGTTTAGTTGCGACTCCTCCTTTCTTTCTTGCGACGTTCAGCTCTGTGACCACAAAGCACTTACCTCTGCCTGTTTTTGTTTCTGCCCCAGAAGGTAAGCAAAAATCTCAGCGGTTTGTTGGGTCCGCTGGTGACATCTGGTGACCACCCCTGCTGCACTGTTAGTCTTAGCGACTCCTTTCAAGGTTACACAGGTGGCCCATTCCTCTCGGGGTGGGCCATGTTGCCCATTCCTTTTCAGATTCCGGAGTGGCCCACTCCGTTTACGGATCGCCACTTTTATTGAAGTGGAAGGGCTCACTTCCAGGGTTCACGGCTGGCCCACTCTCGGGTTGGCAGTTCCTTTGTCTCACGCTTGCCCACAAATAACCTTCGTGGAGGCTTTGTGCTGACTTGTTGGCCCCCCTCACCTCGAGCTTCTCGATGGTGTAGTGAATGTATGTTGAACATGATGGATCCCAACCTCCTTCGAGCCACTCAACACAAAGCTGATCTCCGCCACTCTGTTTCAATACCAGGCGCACTCAAATCCTCGAGTCTCTGCGGCGGGATAGCTTGACGATGGTTCGGGCAGAACACGGAGAATGAATGGCTTTCGTGCTGGTAGCAGTAGTAGTAGTAGTAGTAGTAGTAGTAGTAGTAGCATTAGTGATCGTATTTAGTAGTAGTATTTAGTAATAGTAGTTTGCGTCAGGGTTTGGTATCGATGATACTGTATTTATGCTCACCTCGCTGAGCGTATTGATGTAGATGTGGTTGCCCTTGAAACTCGTAGTTGATCTGCAACACCTTGAGCACTCCCTTCAGGCAAACTCGGTCCGACTGTTCTCTCGCCAGAGATACGCGACGAGTTGTCTGTGCAAGGGGAATGGCTCGAATCCTCTTGGTCGTACACAGACCACTAGCTGGTTGCTAGCACGGCAATGGTGTATTATGCCTTGGCATAATCTTGAGCCAAAGTTGCGTTGCATGCGGAGCGATTGGGGTAGGCACTGCCACATGGTCCGGCTAGCGGTCCCCACGTGCGGGCAAGATACAAGTGATGAGACAAGGTCCGCAAAACGGAGCCGCTCTATGTACATGGTAGACCATGACGTTAGCTCACACAGCGACACCTACGAATTGGACTAGGCATCGGGGTCCGTTCGCACCCCCCGTGAGTTATGCCTCCGGCATTGCTCACACGGAAGAGTCGCGATTAGACAGAAGAAAAGAAAATAATGTCCGCAGCAACTTTGAGAAATGTTAGGGCAAGAGCCTTGGATTCCCAATTAGACGCATTGTGACACTTCTCGACGTCAGTGACGATCCCCTGAAATGGCATCGCAGATTCAGGATGTCACCAAACAAATCGACCACGAGTGAAGATCACTTTCAAGTTGCCAGTGCAAAAAAGACGACCGCTAAACCGCTAAACGGACAGGCTTCACCAATTATCGCGTTCCCAACGGCACAGACGTTCTGGTTCCTCAGGATCCCAGCGTCGGAGGCGTTCTTCAGGATTCTTGGATTTGCCTCTTCCTTTCTGTCCTTTGTAGTCGTGGTAGGTGTTGGCGTTCCAAGTCACTTGTCGATTGTCTCCCTTAGCCAGAGGAATAAGCTTTGGCGTTGGATGGGCGCGAAACACGTTCACGTTGTTCCCGTGTGACGCTTGCATCCATAATCGATGTCTGCCCTGCGGCCATGTAGTCGGAAGGAGAAAGATGCTGGAGAGCTTGACGTCCTCGATGGACTTGTGGGTTCGTCCCTTCGTCAATCTTCCTCTTGACCACTTGTCTGTGCACTTTGCTGGGACCTGGATGTTGTGATCGACGAGCAATGCAATCGTCTGTGCCGATAGGTCCCTTCAAGCTTTGAATGAGAAGGATGCCCGCCGGGTCGATGTACAAGAACTCGGTCAGTCCAGCAGGTGGCGGACATATCAATGACAACGAAGTGTACCCAGTAAGTTTGGGAATGATCTCGCAAAGTACGCCCAAGCAGCTGTAGTGCATCTCCTTCGGGGTTTGACCCCTCTTGACGTAGGTCTCGAGATTGGCTGCTTCCATGACTTCCTCAATACGCGAGCTGGGGACCTCCAAAGGAGTCTTTCTGGGTGCATTCCTTTGGTACTTGCCACACGAAACGAATAGCGACCAGCAGGATGTGCACCTCGAAGTACAAGCAGGCACCACATTGTAGCAGGCAGGGCAAATTTGCATTCGCATCCCGTTGTTTTCACCTTTCATGCGTAGATCGTGAGGACGTGTGTTCTTGATGAGAAAGATGCTACCTTCCCTCATGTAGTGGTGACGCCGAGTGTCCTCCTGGTGATAGTCTACTGTTGCCGCAAGGGCGCACAGTAACCGTTCTTTCCCAGCCGTGTGAGGTCCTGCTGGCATGTCGCAAAGCATTTCCATAACACGAGCAGGTGTTGTCCCCTTTGAATTCGCTGAGAATCGGTGATGGGTGACAGTCCAAGACCAGTTCGTCTTCGAGCTTCTCGTCCAAAAAATTCTCAATGAGGTCATTGGGACCTTTGGTCCCTGTCCGATGCCACGCAGAACCAAGCCTCCTTGACGAGCTTGAAAGGTACAGGTCGACTCACTATGACGGTGCCACTGTCTGTAACTCTCCCTCCTTGACGAATGAGGTCGTCGGAAGGAATGAAGAGCACTGCCAATATGGCATGCGTTGATTGTGATGCCCTGCGACCCTTGTCTTCGTTGATGAATTCCTTGGGTCCCACGGTGCAAAGATGCCGAAGTAGCTGTGTACCCTTCCAGACTCGTGTCTCCTGTCGTAGTCGTCCTCGATGGTATCTCCTGGCAACACGCTCTTTTCCATGATTGAAAACATGTTCCGACAAGCGGTCGCATGAAAGGCACCACCAAGTTGATGCAACAAGCTCATTGCTGGAGAAATTGCAAACTTGTTTGGGTCGAGCTCCAACAGGTTCCTGGACTGGTTCCTGGCTGCAACCGGGCGAGTCGAATGCCCACTGACCGCTCTGACGGCCCAGGGCCGAACCCACCCGTCGCATGGCCCGATCCATCGGTTTCCATATCTGGTGTTGCGGTCACGCTGCAACTCTGTGATCTGGTCCTTTGACACAAGCATGTTGGAATGTGGAGGTCCAATGTTATGAGGCCCGGCAGGCGGATCCTTCAACCTAACTCCCAGAAATTGCAGTCTGATCTTTGCGCCTCTGCGCTGTTTGGCATTGAGGTAGTTACCTTCGAAGAGCAGTCGTGACCTCTCATTGTAAATCCTCTGCCGTTGGTCCTCATCCGTTGATGATGCAGCATCTTTGACTCGCGTCCATAGGACTCCCATCTTGATGAGGTCTTCGATCAATACCCATCCTCCCTCATCACATCTGATGACGTGCTGGAATCTCACGTTGCCCCGACCATCCAAGAACATTGTCGCCCCTGCGAATTCGCGTACCTCCTCGTCTGTGACTTCCTTGCTGAGTTTAGTCTCAGGGCCGATCTCGGATAGTGCTCCAGGCCCGTTGCCCAGTACGTCGTACCTGCACCCTTGGGAGAACTTCTCCTGGATCTGGAAATACGGCATAGTCACCCATGACGAAGTAGTGGGCCATACCTTGTACATTGTACGGAGCAAGCAATACACAATATAGGCAAATGCGGGCCGAATAGCATCAGCACAATGTCCCTATGTCTTATTCTTCTCAGGATAATACGGCTTGTAGGAGATGGGGATCTGTAATCAATGTGCGTCTAGGTAGACTGAGAGGTCGTCGTTCCTCGAGCACATCTGTGGTGACTCTTCCTCGTATTCGGGAATTTCCTGGAGCATTTCTTCGTCAAGTTCAAGTTCTCCCTCAGACTGCTGTCCGTCTACTTCCATCTCAGGCTCTGCAACCGTACTTGTGTCCGCCGGTTCATCCTCATCCAAGTCAACGGTTGGGACTGCGCCCCAGCAACCCGAGCAATGCGAGGTCAGATTGAATGCATGACAGAGCCCAAGCGGCATTCTTGATAGCATGTCGAGTCATGTTCCTCGGGATGCACGTATCGACGATTTCCCAATGTCGATGTGCAAACGTGGTTTCCTCCAATGGAATAAAGTCCAAGATCCCTACACGGACTTGATCACCAACGCATCGATAGCCCTCGTTGTCATACTCGCCTGTTTCCACATTCATCGTGTATCTTGGTTGATCGCCACGTTGAGGAAGACAACGATCCCTGGGATCAAACATGTCTTCAACCAATTCAACCACTTTGTCGTTGCTGACAGGACCAATGTCTGCAGTCTCAACGCCGCAAACAAGGAAGGTTCCTCTCTCTTCGATTGGTCACCTCACGACCGCAGGTCTGTGTGTCGTACCTGATGAGTATCAGATCGCTTGAGACGGTTTCACCACCAGGCTCTACGTCGTCTTCCTGAAGAAGCGGCGCTTCCTGTATCGTCAATGTCCATGGGTTCAGCGCCTTCACATTGTGGTTGTGCGGCACCCGAGGTCGATGCCGTGCTGCGTATCCTTGGCTGATGTTTCGGATACCGAAATAGGGCAGTGCGCATGATCTCGATTCCACGGTTAACGGCCGCCACAGTCTCTGGGTCGTAATCGCAATCCGCCATGGTATGCCTGCTTAAAAAACAGCGGAAGGGCTGCGGCATTGATTTGCTCATTCAGTTCTTGCAGCAACTTGGCCTCCAGCTCATCTTTCAACCTTTGTTGGTTGAAAGAGACATCTTGTAGCTGAGTTGCACGCCGTGAAGAACCAGCAGAACTTTCTTCTGCGAGCGCGTGACATGCCAGCCAACTGCCAGCACTGACAGCGTCAACATCACGAACAGGAACAGCTCAACATATGAGGCCCCCACCTGCGCCGCACACCACACCCACCCTAGAGAGTAGTCAAGGGCGAGAGCACATCCATGATGGCAGGGCACTCTAGCAAGTTTGTCAATCGCTCGAGC